CAATCTCTCGCACAAACTTCCTAGCCAAGACAGCAGCTCCATCTGTCTTCTTGATGGCCAAGAAATGTGCAGACTTAGTCAACCGATCCACAATCACCCAGATAGCATCGAAAGTCCTCGAAACAGGTAGTCCAACCACGAAATCCATCGTAATCCTGTCCCACTTCCACTCTGGAATGGGTAAACTCTGCAAAAGACCACCCGGAACCTGATGCTCTGCCTTCACCAAGGCACAAGTGTTGCACTTCGCAACCCAATCTGCTACATCCCTCTTCATCCCGACCCAATGATAGTACCTCTTGAGGTCATGGTACATCTTGGTCGCTCCCGGATGAATGGAAAACTTGCTCGCGTGAGCCTCTCCCAAAATCTGATGTCTCAACTCCACATCCTTAGGCACACAAACTCGCCCACGAACCAAGATAGTCCCATTCGCAGAGACCTCATACTCAGAACCAGTCACTCTCGTCGCATCTAGCAAACTCTGATCACTCTGCTGAGCAACTCTGATCCTGCTAAGTAGATCCGCCTGATCCACTGCCTCTAAACCCAAAGGCTCCTGCGAAATGGCACACAAACGCAAGGTACTGATCTCGCCAACTAGAGACTCCACATCTCGCTCAACTGCGGAATCATACCTCCGTCTACTCAACGCGTCCGCCACTAGGTTAGCCTTGCCCGGATGGTAGTTAATGCTCACCTGATAATCCGCCAAGAACTCAACCCAGCGCGTCTGTCTCGCGTTCATCATCGGCTGAGTGAAGATATGCTGCAAACTCTTGTGATCCGTGAAGACCTGTACTGTCTCACCTAGCAAGTAAGACCTCCAAATCTTCAACGCGAAGATCACTGCTCCCAACTCTAAGTCATGTGTAGGACGGTTACGCTCACTGCCCTGCCACTGTCTCGAAGCATATGCTATCACTCTGCCCTCCTGCATCAGCACACAACCAAGACCAATGCCTGAAGCATCTGTATACACCATGTAAGGCTTCCCTGGCTCGGGTAACGCCAACACTGGTGTAGTAGTCAACATCTCCTTGAGCTGACTAAAGCTCTCCTCACACTCAGCTGACCAAATAAAAGGGACATCCTTCCCGGTCAACTTCGTCATCGGCTGCGCCATGGTAGCAAACCCCTTGACGAACCTCCTGTAGTATCCTGCCAAACCCAGAAAACTCCTGATCTCGGTGGCACTACTAGGTCTAGGCCAATCTCTGATAGCCTCAATCTTAGCCGGATCCACAGAAACTCCCTCTGCAGAAACAATGTGGCCAAGAAATCCCATCTCTCGCTGCCAGAAACTGCACTTGCTCAACTTAGCAAAAAGCTTCTGCTCCCGAAGCTTCTCCAGAACCAACCTCAAGTGAGTCGCATGCTCCTCCTGACTCCTCGAGTATACCAGAATATCGTCAATGAAAATGATGACAAACACGTCCAAATACTCCCTGAACACGTCGTTCATCAATCTCATGAAGGCTGCCGGCGCGTTAGTCAAACCGAAAGGCATAACCACAAACTCAAAATGCCCATAACGCGTCCTGAAAGCAGTCTTCCTGACATCTGCCTCATCTATCGGGATCTGATGATACCCCGATGCCAAGTCAATCTTGGAGAACCAAGTAGCACCCCTCAACTGATCCAACAACTCATCAATCCTCGGGAGTGGGTACCTGTTCTTCACAGTGACTCGGTTAAGACCTCTGTAATCGATACAAAGTCTGAAACTGCCATCCTTCTTCTTCACAAACAACACCGGTGCTCCCCACGGTGAAACACTTGGTCGAATGAACCCCTTAGACAAAAGGTCCTCTATCTGCTTCTTCAGCTCTGCCAACTCAGCTGGCGCCATCCTGTAAGGCGTCTTCGATATCGGTGCTGTCCCCGGCTCTAACTCAATCGTGAAAGGATCAGACCGAGATGGTGGTAATCCCTTCAGTGACTGAAAGACATCCTCAAAATCCTGGACAACCTCAATATCTCCCATAACAACTCCAGCTCCTGACTCAGACATAGAAATCGTCGCCAGATACGCCTCACAGCCCCGCTCTAACAACTGCTCGGCCTGAATAGCAGATATCACAATACTCCCGGAAGTCGGTCTCACTCCCTGATAAACCAACCTCCCTGCATCTCGCTCGAAGACCACTCTACCTCTGTAGCAATCCAGATGAACTCTGTAGTGTGACAACCAGTCCATCCCGAGAATAACGTCATACAGCTCCACCGGACTGATGACTAAGTCTGCTGGCATTGACTGCCCCGCAATCTCGATCTCGACTCCTCTAGCACGGCCCAAAGTAGACAAGAATCCACCTCCCGCCACCTTGACCATGCCCGCGCTCTCGCCCGCGCTACTCCGGATGCCACTCTTCTCGGCACGCTCCGGTGTAATGAAGCAATTCGATGCTCCAGAGTCGAATAAAACGTGGGACTCAAAACCGCCCACTAACAAGGTCATTACGAAACACATTGCGTTGAGAACCTCCAACAATTTATCACAGATAAATGAACAACACACAACAACAACAACCATTATGCCCTCGATGGCCCGCCACCACAAATGTGCATCTCCACTCAGATAGTGGACTGCCAACTCAACCTGGTACTAAACCAATCTGATAGACTGGAAATTCCGCTCCAATCTCTGACGCCACTCCGCCTCTCTGGGCTAACTCCGCCCTCAAAGTACGGCGTACCAATCCTCTGCATGTGCCCCACATATCCAAATAGGACGGCACCATCAAACCCACAGCCTGCGGCTGAACAAATCCCGCAGCCCTCTGCTGCACCTCTGCCACTGGAGGTACTCCCGGAGCCCCTGTGGAACCACTGGCGGAAAACGAGCCAATAACTGCGTCAGCAAACCCACCACTAAGTCATCAAGACCCTGAGCCGGAGCACCACCCCAACCCGGAGCAGCCCCCGCTCCCAAACCAACACTCGCATCCACACTGGCCTCACTCGCCACGGATACCGACTGGGTCACCGACGCAGTCGCCACACTCGGCACCACACTCTCTCCCGAATCCGCCGAAGTCCACAATCTCGGCCCCGGCCTCCACTCTAGCTCTGCCACCACGGCCTCAGCACCGCGCCCTCTCGCGCCACAACCTCTAGCTACTCCATCCACTCATGGAACCGAAAAAGAGCACACTAGAACAAACCAAAACTCACAAACATAAACTCACCGCGGAATCTCTTGTAGCTGAAGGGGATGATACTAAAGCCTAGCAATTCTAACAGTCCTAAAACCGTCTAGGCTCTGATACCAAAATGAAACAACCAACATTTTTTTTTTTTTAATAAATATTAATCAATTCTAGCGAAGGTCTTAAAATAAATTAAATAAATAAAATATCAATAACAAATAAATCAGCTCAGCGGAAGCAAATAATAATTAAACAAGTCTAGCAAAATAATGCAAAACAATAAAACAGTAAACATCCTATCATCCCCCTCTTCAGCCTTGATTCCGCGATCACACAAATCTTTTACCTGCAACACATTGGAATGGAGTTGCGTAAGTATTTAATAAATACTTAGTGAGGCAATCACTCTGCCTACGAGCCATTTACGCAATTTACTAGATATTTAATAATATTTATAAACTCAATAATTATTAAATACCATTTTCCAATTATTAAATAATTTTTAATAATTAAAACTCAATTTCTCAATTATTAAATAATTCTCATAATTAAATAATAATTTTCCATATTTTAAAATAATTAAAATAATACCAATTAATTAATAAATATTATTTAATTAATTAAATCCGAATTAAATCTATTTAATTCCATTAAACCAATTAAATTCAATTAAACCAATTAAATTCAATTGAACCAAGATAAACCAGAATCAAATCAATTAAATTCAATTAAACCAATAAACCAGATTAAACCACACAAACACACAATTCATCACATGAACAACCAAAATATCATAAAAATAACAATTAAAACATAAACTCATCAAGAACAACCACAAACCAAATCTAATCTAGCAAATCACGGACCCACAGTCATGCACTCACCTTGACAATGACTGAAACTGAAGGAAAAAGGAAGGACGATGAACAGTGCCGAATCGCGGATGAACAGTAACCCGTGAACAGTACCGATGAACAGTACCGATGAACAGTAACCCGTGAACAGTCCGAAACAGTGCCGATGAACAGTAAAATTCGAAAATCTCTCCAAAAACTCAACTTTTCTCCTCTACAGCATCTGAACTCGAAAATTCTCCAAAGAGAAGACGGCTGCACTCTTTAAACTTGATTTTAGGGCTTTCTCCACTAAACCGACCCAAACCAATTCACTTAAATTGAACCGACAAAATTCCCAATTTTTATTTTTGGTTTATGGATATTACAGTGTATATATATAGTATTTCTGGTGCAATACATTTTTAGGGATTCAAAGATATCCTTGCATATTATTTTTGGTAACAGCTTTTCAAATCGATTCATTATATAATGAATGTGTCTCTTTTGTTGGCAAGGTACGGGTTATATTTTGAATGGTAGGTATATTCTTATTTGATTTTTACCGAGATTTGTGGGAAGTTTCCTTAGATTTTGCTTGGAAGAGTAGGATTTGCAGTTATTACGTATAATCACAGTTAATATTCGTTATTTATAGAAATGATTTTAAGTTGAAGATCCGCGTGTTTTTTTTCTGTCGCGTCGGGTTAATTAGCGTAATTAGAGGTTAATTACGGGTTAAATGGGTGTTTGGCTACAGGTTTAGGCGCTTGTTTAGTGTACTTTGTTTTGTTGTTCCTCTACTTTAATAGTATAGATGATTGTGGTTTGGTGGATTTTCCAAGTCGGGGTAACACTCTTTCTTGGAGGGGTAGAAGACGAGGCAAAATAGTGAGGTGTCGTTTGGACAGAGCGCTTGCTACAGAAGAGTGGCATGATCTATTTCCCTTTTCTCATGTGGAATATTTAAAAATGATTGGATCATGGTACATCCATGGTTTCAGTAACAACCACCTCAAGTTCTGCTTGTACTCTCTGAGTTCTCTGACTTCTCTTTCTGCCCGTGATGAAATCTAGTTCGACCAAGTCTTCTGTTGTTCGACTCGATCGAGTTTGCATGCACCTGCAAAATGAATCAAAAACCCAACAATACAAATAACATGGATGAGATAGCTTGATCGTTCAAGTGATTTGGAAACTCAAATGCAACAAAATTCAAACCCAAATGGCAACGGCGCCAAATTGATGATAGGATTTGTTGGTGGTGTGAAATGATGTAAATGATATGAGGTGGAATGCAAATAGGGGTGAATAAAGATGAGATGGCCTGTTGTAGAATCGAGCGGCGGCCTGTTGATAGTTTTGAATGCGGAGGAGTGCCTTACTGTGTTCGTCTTCGAGGTAGTCTAGGTGGTCCAGGATCATATTGTTATTCAGCTCGGCAAATCGTGGCAAGACTTTCCAACGGAGTGCATCCAACCCGACCTCAGCTGGTGACATTGCCTCCATGCCGTGTAAAAGCGAGAACGGAGTTCGGCTGGTCGTGCTTCTAGGTGTTTTTTGGTATGACCAGAGTACTCCGTCGAGCTCGTTTGACCACTTTCCTTTTTTGGCGTTGAGGCGCTTCTTCAGGGGTTGCTCGACATTTTTGACCTTGGTGCTGAGGTTGATCATGTACAGACTTTCCGAACGACGAAACTTGTGTTTGGTGACTGATGTACTTGCATTTTACATAGTTTTAGCACATCTTTTATGCATCTTTTGCATAGTTTTAGCTTCCATTTGCATCATATCTTGTTCCTTTTCTCTTCTTATGCATTCATGTTAGTTTTAGGTTGCATTTGCATACATATGCATGTTTGGTCCTTTGAAATAGGTCTTTTGGAGCATTCTGGAGCATATGGGACATAAGGAGCATGGAGGGACTTGGCACATGGAAGCAGCTCAACTGGACACGCAAAGGAAGAAGGGAGAAGCCATCTTGAAGACCAGCTCGACCGTCCACTCGACCAACCGGTCGAGTTCCTCAACTCGACCGGCCAAGCTTCAACTCGATCGAGCTGGAAGTCAAAGTCAAACCCGAAAAATGTTGCTTCCCCCTTGACTTTCCTTTGACCCTAAACCTAATCCTCTTGTATTTAAAGGCTCTAAGCCACGAAAAAACCACCAAGCTTTAGATTATTTTGTTTTAGCTTTCTTTAATTTATTGTCTTTTACTTTTTAGAACCCTAATCCCATCTTTGTGTTCTTGAAGCTCTTGCTTCTTGAATCTTAGATCCTGGATTAATCTCTTTGTATTTGCACTTGCTTATTTCAATAAAAGTTGTTTAATTTCATCTCCTCTTTCTTATGATGTCTCTTTTATTGCATTTGCTTGTGTTTACATTCATGTGTAGTGAGTAGTTACCCATTAGGGTTTGAGATGGGATAGATTAGAGGTTTCATATGCTTAATCCTTCTAGCTTATGGTCTTAATCTAGATTCTCTCTCTTTTGGATAGATCTTAAGGCTACATGACCACTACCCCTGGCTTGTAAGTCCTTAGGCGACTCCCCACACGAAGTGATGGCATTCGCTGGAAAAGATCCACTAAGAGCTCCAATATCTCTTGCTCTAGACAATAGAGGTCTAAGGGGTTGGATGGATTAGTTTGGGCAATGATCCTATGCCTCCAAGGTTTGATTCTCACTGGCTAACCCCCTGTTTCTGAGATCATTCCTTGGTTGATAGCCTCCACCTTGGGAAAGGGTTGGCTAGGCATTGAGAAGCCCAATATCAAGAGAAGCCTTGATACAAGGAGTTTTAAGAGCTAGATTGATTAAGTGTAGATTCCTTTGATTGCAAAACCCTGTCTTGAACCCTAATTCTCTCTTTATCTTGTTAAAGTCGTCACCTTTACTTTTTTGTCTCAACTCGACCCTAAACTCGATCGAGCTGGTACTCTGTTCCACTCGACTCGAGTCCTTGGTCGAGCTACTTCTGCTTTGTTTACTTTTATTGCACTGCATTTCATTTTTAGGTTGTTAGTGTTACTTCAAATCTATAACTGCTTGCTTGACTTTCTGGTTGTTTCATATTCTCATAGAGTGACAAGTTTCCCATTTTGGATTGATAACCTCTTATACTTCAATGACTATGATGGTTAAGAGGAATTGTTGACTGTGTTTGTGTTTGCATCTTACCACCATCATTTACCACTGATTGCATTCCACTCATCTCATTTCATTCTTTTCACATCCACACACAAATCCTATCATCAATTTGGCGCCGTTGCCGATTTGGGAATATTTTTGTTGCATTTGAGTTTCAAACACACTTGGACGATCAAGCTATACCACCCCTGTTCTATTGTACTGCTGGGTTTTTGTCTCTTTTTGCAGGTGTATGCGAACTCGATCGAGTCGGTCAACTGAAGACTTGGTCGAGCTAGACTTACAACGGGTAGAAAGAGGGTTCAGAGGTCACAGAGGGTACAAGAGGAACCTGAGGTGCTTGTTGCTGATACAATGGATGTACCAGAGGGGAATGGAAACCCTTTGGGATGGACTCGGTCGAGCTAGGCAAACTCGACCGATTGGTCAAGGAGATGCTCCAAACCGCCACCAACAGAGACAAGGGATTGTTCCACCACCAGTGCAGAACCACAACTTTGAGATCAAGCTGGGAATGATCAACCTTGTCCAGAACAAGATGTTCCATGGATTGCCAAGTGAAGACCCCATTGACCACCTTGATGAGTTTGATAGGCTTTGTGATTTGACAAAGATCAATGGTGTCTCTGAAGATGCCATCAAGCTGAGACTCTTTCCTATGTCTCTAGCTGACAAAGCTCACCAATGGGAGAAGAGCTTGCCCCATGGCACAATCACCACTTGGGATGAATGCAAGAAGGCCTTTCTTGCTAAGTTTTTCTCCACCGGTCGCACAGCCAAGCTTAGAGGAGAGATATCCAGCTTCATCCAGCGAAACAATGAGACATTCGCAGAGGCTTGGGAGAGGTTCAAAGGCTACACAAGTCAGTGCCCACACCATGGATTCAACAATGAATCACTACTCTCCACTCTTTATAGAGGATGCTTGCCTAGGTATAGGGAGATGCTAGACACAGCTAGCAATGGGAACTTCCTCAACCAGGATGTAGATGATGGCTGGCAACTTGTGGAGAACATAGCTAACTCAAATGGAAGCTATGGAGAAGAGTATGATCGCACCAACCGGAGCTCGACCCACCACTCGATCGAGTCAGACGAAAAGTTGAGAAAAGATGTTAAGGCATTGAATGAGAAGTTGGATAAGCTGATCCTAGCTCAGTCCACAATGAAGAAAGTCAACTTTGTGTCTGCTGAGGAGATGGAACCAGTCCAAGAAGGGGAGGATACACAATTTGCTGAGGTATGCTACATGAGCAATGGGCAAGGAGGTTACAACAAAGGATACTATAACTACAAGTCCAACCCTGCCATGTCATACCGCAACACTGATGTTGCTAACCCTCAGGACCAAGTCTATCCTCAACAACAAGCAGCTCGATCGAGTCAAGGCCACAACATGGGTATGGTCAAAAGAACAATTACCAAGGACCACAAGGCACTTTCCCTGGACAACAAATGAATATCCCACCAGGCTTCCCCCACCAACCGCCCCAGCCTGCACCTTCACAAGAGAATGAGCTCAAGGCAATGCTAAAGCAACTACTTCAAGGGCAAGCTGATGGGGTAGTGGACACAAGCAAGAAGCTAGCTGAAATAAACTCTAAGATCGAGAACCTCAACACAAGGGTTTACTCTCTGGAGAATCATGCTTCTTCTGTTGCTGCTGCTACAAAGCAAGGACAACTACCTGGTAAAGCTATTCAGAACCCCAAGGAACAGTGCAAGGTCATCTTCACTCAAGAAGGACTTGTTGAAGAAGAGGATCAAGAAAGGGTCATTGAAGATTTTTGTTTACTGCTGAATGATGAAGAGATTGTTGCTGCTGAGGCTCCTGGAGTCCAGATTGATCAACCAGAAGTGCATGCACCTACTGTGGCCATTCACACTTCACCAGTTGAGCTCGCACGACAAGCTCGATCGGCAGCTCGATCGAGTCCAACTCTAGCTCGATCGAGTCCGACCTCTTCTGTCCGACAGCCTGTTTTGCTTGATCCTTATCAACCGGTTGCCGCTTCCTCGTCTCGCCTACTTAGTCAAGGTCACAAGGAAGTGATTCACAAGTTCAGAAGAGATCTCAGTGGGATTGGAATTGAGTTGCCTCTATGGATAGCATGAGTGAGGCATTTGATCAAATGCAAATGGTCAAGGATGTTCTAGCCAACAGTGATAAAGTTTCAGAGGTCCTACAAGAGTCTACTCATCAGTTCAACCTGCTTACTTCACCCACCTTCCTACCAAAGGTCAAGGATCAAGGGAAATTCACTCTCCCTTGCACACTTGGGCATCTTGAGATTGACAATGCCTTAGTGGATTCTGGAGCAAGCATCAATCTGATCTCTCTCTCCATGGCAGAGAAGCTAGGCATTGCTGGAGCCTTGCAGCGCCCTACTACTTCAATCATGTTTGGAGATGCAACTTCTAAGTCTCCTCTTGGAGTGTTCAAGAACTATCACTTGAAAATTGGAGAATGCATCATCCAAACTGATCTCACTGTGATGGAAATGGAAGAAGAGAAGGATTTGCCTTGTTATTGGGAACCCCTTTCCTTAGTACAGTTGGCGCTTCAATAGACTTTCACAAGCAAGAAGTGATCCTTCACAAGGTGAATAGTTTGGTGTCATATCGCTTGCAGCCTAGAGGTTCAGACTTTTGTGCCACAATTGACAGTACCAATCTCAGTTCTAAGAGTCATGGAGCTACAAAGGTTGTGAAGGAAAGGGTTGACAAGGAACCAAGAGTTGGGAAGGATAAGGATGAGAGAGGACCAAGGATTGAGAAGCCACGTCTTGAGAGGGCTAGAGTTGAGAAACCACGATCTGATAGGCCAAGAGCTGAGCGACTTGTTCAAGCCCCTTGTGTGCTTGATGAAGAGAGCCTTCAAGCTTTGTTTGATGAGCCACTAGGAAGGGCTCTAAAAGAAGGGGAGGATGCAGCCTCTAAGGCAAGACCAGGAGATAAAAGAAAGGATCCACCAGCTCAGGCCCCTTCAGTCAAGCCATCTCAGCTCACAATGACTTTGTTCCCCACCAAGTTTGAAAATGGGAAGATTGAGTACAAGATAAGGTACAAGGGGAGATCAAGGCCATTCTCTAGAGCCAAGGCCTTGGTGACTTCAGAACAGTCCAGGGACCCAACCAAGCTAAAGGAGCTTCTGTCTCAAGTCCTCACTATCACCCTTGATGGTGGGACTAGCTCAACCAATGCCTAAGAAGGTAAAGGTCAAGCTATGGGACCTTAAACAAGCTCACTTGGGAGGAAGTCCCATGTTTATCCTTGTACATACTCTATTTATGCAATTTCTATCTATCTTTATGTTTTTAACCTTTCAATAAGTTAAGTTTAGGTGTCAAGGAGCCAGCTCGACCCAGCTCGATCGAGCTAGAAACCAGGGCAACTCGATCGAGTTCACAACTCGACCAAGGTAAGTTTTTGAATTTCAAATTCATAACCGTTTTCTTGGTCAAGGGAGTGGGTCCCACAAGCTGATTTTGGTCCCCCACTACCCTAATTCGATCAGAGAATCCCTAGCTTTCTTGTTCCCTCTTTATTTCATCTTTTAATCTCAACCACACATCTCAAACACTCTCTTCCCCATAACTCGATCGAATCCACTTCTCTCTCTCCCACACTTAAATTTCTGAAATCATCCATCTCTCTCTTCACCACAAGAAAAATCGATTTCAATCTCTCTCTTAAGTTTTTGCGATTTCTTTGTTCTTCATCTTGTTTTGCTTAGTTCTTAGTTTACTGCTCTTCAATTCCATCATTCAAGCAAGGTATGAACCCTAAAACCCTTGATTCCTTCCATCTCGATTTCCTATTGCTTGTTTCTCTTGATTTTTGATTGCATGTGTCCCTTGTGGACTTGTTATTGAGTAATTGCTTTCATATTTCGCCTCTGCTGTAACTTGTTAGTTTGCCTCACCTCACCTCTGTTTTGCCTTTAAACTTGTTGCATGTGCTTGAAATTGAATTTGAGTTTGGTAATGGTTAGGTTGCTATGTTTTTCTTATGTTTTCACTAGAATTGCTTATTGTTCCATTTACTAGTTGTTCTTGGTTCAATTTGATTGATTAGCATCCTTTCCAGCTCTTAATACTTGAATTAGGTTTGGTTATACTCTGTTTTCACCAACTCGATCGAGTTTGTCACTCGAGTTTTTTGACTCGATCGAGCTGAGTGTCGAGTTGACCAAACCGATCATTACAACTCTAATTCTTTGAACTTTTGATGCATTTCAGGACCAATCTAAGATGTTGAGAGGTGAAGGAAGCAAGCAGCGTTCACAAGGAGGGAGATGATAAGAGGAGCAAGGAGGATACTCAAAACACAAACCAAGGAGGACATAGAAGAGGTTGAGAGGGTGAGGGAAGAAAGGAGAACCAAAAGAAGGAATGATCCTCTCAGCAGTGAGAGCGAAGCAAGGAGAGTTTGAAATTGGAGTGAACATCCCACATGAGGAGAATGATGACTCCCAAGTGAAGAAGAGGGTGAAGAGATCAATCAAGAGATTGAGGAGAGTGAGCATGAGGGCAATGAGAATGTGCCCATGGAAGAGGAGGAGTCAAGGAAGAAGAGGATGAGCTCCCCATGTACCAAGAGCACTATGATGCTCTCTTCTCCATGGACTTCATGGACACCAAGTACCCACATGTTGACACCATGAAGGCCCTTGGAATCTTTGAGATGTGGAGTTGGTCCTCAAGAACATGCACTTGGCCAAGCTCTTCTCTACCACATGGAATCCTACAAGGAGCTCACTTGCGAGTTCCTAGCTTCAATGAGGTACCACATGTATGAGGAGAAGATAGAGCTGATTTGGACCAAGGATTGGGATGGATCACGTTCTTGGCTAAGGGAGAGAAGAGAATGGTGACCTTTAGGCAGCTGGAGATCTTGTTTGGGTTCAACTATGGAGAGGGAACCAAGTGGAACTTCAAGGAAAAGGAACTCCAAAGGGTTTGGGCTACAATCGCTGATGGAGTGTACTCTTCCTCAAGGTCCAAGGCAGCTCAGATCAGGAGCCCAGTCTTGAGATATGTGCACAAGGCACTTGCCAACACCTTCTTTGCAAGGAAGGCACCGGGACAATCAACGAGGGGGAACTCAAGTTTCTTGACATGGGAATCAAGCCCTCTCTCTGGCAAAGATAGATCTCTTGATGCCTTTCCTTGACCAGCTCCTCACCTACAAGATCACAGCTTACAACACTAGGCACCAAAGAGGAAGAAAGCTTAGTGTTGGAGGGCTCATCACACCTATCTTGTGTGCTGCTGGAGTAAACCCAACTGATAGAGAGCTACTGAACCAGGTTGGATGGACATCAAGTTTTGCAAGACCAACCTCCTCATTGAGCACAAGGAGTTGGATGGGAGGTTCCAATTCAAGTTCACACATCCATTGGCTGGACCCTCCAAGCTTTCTCCTGCCCAACCCAGAGCTCACCACAGTTGTAAGGGGTGAGAACATTGACTTCAGACCCCCTGTGTACACATTAGTTGGGCATGAGGATGATTGCGAGAAGAGGAGCCTGAGCTCGATCGAGCTGAGTCGAGCTGATCGAGCTGAGGATCGAGCTGAAATCAGGTCCAGGGAGCGCTGATTGGGTGAGCCTGAGTGCTACTACTTTGAGGAGTATGAGGCTCCAAGGATGAACCCCTCTGTTGTGGCTGCCACAAGAGGATTGGACTTCTCCAAAGTTCAACAAGTGGCAAGGGAAAGCCATGAGAAGATGCAAAAGTCCATGGACAAGATGGTGAGCAAGATCAAAAGTTTGGAGAAGAAGGTTTCTGGTTCTTCAAGCAAGAAGAAGTCCAAGGCCCCACATTCCCTAGGAGTAGGTCACTCCTCACCACCCAAAGGAGGCTCCCTGCCCAAGAGCCTCACAGAGCCTCTTCTTTCGAGCCAAGGGAAGGAGAAGACAACACGCAGAGAAGGAGGAAGAGTTCCAAGGCCAGACGCTCCAGCTCGACCACCGGACTCGATCGAGTCCAAACAGAGGAAACTCAACTCGATCGAGCTGACGGTCGAGTTGACTGGAGGACCTGTTTGAGAACCCTGGGATTCGAGTACGATCAACCCAGTACCAGGACTTCTCTCAGACCGCTGGACTCCCTACAACCGCTTCGAGCGAGCACAACTCCACCAAGGCCAAGGAAGCCACACCCACTTTGAAGATGAAGAAGAGAGGAAGAGGAGCCACAAGCTCGATCGAGTGAGCCGAACCCAGTTGAGTGGAGTGCTCCTGATGGCCGTCTCCCATCTCCAGACCACGACCTAGCCTCCCAGTTCTTTGGGGGGCACTGAGGTATCCAAACACCAACCCTTGTATATACCATTTCATATTTTCTTGCTTTGTTCTTGTTTTTTCTTGGTTTTGCCCTCTTGAATCTTTCACTAATTTTTCTCACACAAGGGACTGTGTGATTTAAGTTTGGGGGAGGGTTCAAGAGATGATTTAACCTTGTTTTCTTTGTTCTTAGTTTTTCATTTATCTTTTGCATAGAAAAACCAAAAAAATCATAAAATTTTCAAAAAATCCAAAAATATTTTCATCTTTTTGCATTCATATTTGGACTTGTTTAGGATTGCATTTTTCACTTGCATTGTTGATTTGACTTTGAAAACTTGTCCATCTTTTGCGATTTCTTGAGTGCCCTGTTTTTAGATTCTTTTGTGCATTAGGGTGAGATTGATTGAGCAGCAAGAACCATGTTTATCTTGATCATATCACTGCATGCACATCTCATTCAACCATTGCTGTGATTTGATGCATTTCCCTATCTATTTGAACCATAACTTGATCTTTAATTACCAATGCTTGCATTTGATTTCAACTCATGGCTACCACATACATATCTGGACATTCTTTACTTTCATATCCCTTTTGCTTGTCCAGATAGCTGATCTCTATCTTTGAGACAGTTACCACACCTTAAACCTAAGCCTTTTCATTTCAAACCCCTTATTATCTCTTGTGCGAATGTGAGAACCTTTCTTGGCTTTGCTTAGCATAAGGTGTTGTGTTTAAACCGGCAGGGGCAGTAGTTCTAGTTGTCTAGTTCTCTTGGGATTGTTTTCAGGCTAAGTTTGGGGGTGCCAACTCGAGCTCGATCGAGTTGGGTGTCAAAAACCAGAAAAGTGGTAAAAATTGGGAAAAACCCAAAGGAAAAGAGTTTGGTTAAGTCCAGGGAGTTGGCAGTGTTTAAAAGGGTCTAGTAAAGGTTTGGGAAGTTAAAAAAGGAAAGTAAAAAGGGTTCTAAGTAGAATGAAAAGAAGGCAAAGCCTCAAGTGTCAAAAAGGAAGAAAAGTTCCCTAAGTGTTTAGAAAATCCCAAACCGCTAGATGTTACCTCAAGAAGCCTCTCCCTAGGAAGTTCTTAAAAGAAAAGTGAGCAAAGCTCCTCAGTTTCAAAGGCGAAATGCCAAAAAGGGTAGTTAGGATTTTGTTCTAAAAAGCTCTAAGTGTTGAACTCGATCGAGTTAGGATTAGGCGGCTCGAGCTGCTGTTCTTGCATCATCTTTGGTTCTAACACTTAGCCTTCTGCCAAAGCAAAGCCACTTTCTTGAGAGATCCCTGTTACTAAACCACCATACAAAAGAGACCCTCTTTGTCTCTTAACCCATAAACCCTTGAAACCAAATGAGTTGATTGATCTTGCATGTTTTTGGTTCACTGTTTTTGCTTAATGAATGTTAAAGGGATTTGCTGATTTGAATGCATTGTTTGAGTGACTGTGAAGTGGGATTGATGTTGATAAGCATGGTTAAATCTTAATGAATATCTCTCACCTTGTTGCATTCTAGAATCTCTAAGTTGGACATTTAGCAAATCGCTTTTGAGGACATGTTTTTAAGTGTTGAATCAGCTTGTTTTCAAACCTCATCTCTTTCTTGTTCTATTTGTTTGCTTGAGGGCAAGCAAAGTTCAAGTTTGGGGGTGTTGATGTACTTGCATTTTACATAGTTTTAGCACATCTTTTATGCATCTTTTGCATAGTTTTAGCTTCCATTTGCATCATATCTTGTTCCTTTTCTCTTCTTATGCATTCATGTTAGTTTTAGGTTGCATTTGCATACATATGCATGTTTGGTCCTTTGAAATAGGTCTTTTGGAGCATTCTGGAGCATATGGGACATGAAGGAGCATGGAGGGACTTGGCGCATGGAAGCAGCTCAACTGGATACGCAAAGGAAGAAGGGAGAAGCCATCTTGAAGACCAGCTCGACCGTCCACTCGACCGGCCAAGCTTCAACTCGATCGAGCTGGGGAGTCAAAGTCAAACCCGAAAAATGTTGCTTCCCCCTTGACTTCCTTTGACCCTAAACCTAATCCTCTTGTATTTAAAGGCTCTAAGCCACGAAAAAACCAAAGCTTTAGATTACTTTTGTTTTAGCTTTTTTAATTTATTGTCTTTACTTTTTAGAACCTAATCCCATCTTTGTGTTCTTGAAGCTCTTGCTTCTTGAATCTTAGATCCTGGATTATCTTGCTTTGTATTTGCACTTGCTTATTTCAATAAAAGTTGTTTAATTTCATCTCCTCTTTCTTATGATGTCTCTTTTATTGCATTTGCTTGTGTTTACATTCATGTGTAGTGAGTAGTTACCCATTAGGGTTTGAGATGGGTAGATTAGAGGTTTCATATGCTTAATCCTTCTAGCTTATGGTCTTAATCTAGATTCTCTCTCTTTTGGATAGATCTTAAGGCTACATGACCACTACCCCTGGCTTGTAAGTCCTTAGGCGATCCCCACACGGAAGTGATGGCATTCGCTGGAAAAGATCCACTAAGAGCTCCAATATCTCTTGCTCTAGACAATAGAGGTCTAAGGGGTTGGATGGATTAGTTTGGGCAATGATCCTATGGCCTCCAAGGTTTGATTCTCACTGGCTAACCCCCTGTTTCTGAGATCATTCCTTGGTTGATAGCCTTCACCTTGGGAAAGGGTTGGCTAGGCATTGAGAAGCCCAATATCAAGAGAAGCCTTGATACAAGGAGTTTTAAGAGCTAGATTGATTAAGTGTAGATTCCTTTGATTGCAAAACCCTGTCTTGAACCCTAATTCTCTCTTTATCTTGTTAAAGTCGTCACCTTTAGCTTTTTTCAACTCGACCCTAAACTCGATCGAGCTGGTACTCTGTTCCACTCGACTCGAGTCTTGGTCGAGCTGACTTGACTGCTTTGTTTACTTTTATTGCACTGCATTTTCATTTTTAGGTTGTTAGTGTTACTTAAATCTATAACTGCTTGCTTGACTTTCTGGTTGTTTCATATTCTCATAGAGTGACAAGTTTCCCATTTTGGATTGATAACCCTTATACTTAATGACTATGATGGTTAAGAGGGAATTGTTGACTGTGTTTGTGTTTGCATCTTACCACCATCATATTACCACTGTTGCATTCCACCATCTCATTTCATATCTTTTCACATCCACACACAAACCTTTACATCAGTGACAAACATGTTCTGAGCCAGTCTTTGGTTACCTCTGATAGTGACTATGCCGTCGCGGGTCGGAAATTTCAGGCATTGGTGGTATGTTGACAGGATTGCCTTTATAGAATAGAGCCACGGTCCTTCCAGAATGATGTTGTAGATCGTCGATCGATCGATGACGACGAACTTGACCATCATAGTCATTGAAGTATAAGAGGTTATCAATCCAAAATGGGAAAACTTGTCACTCTATGAGAATATGAAACAACCAGGAAGTCAAGCAAGCAGTAATAGATTTGAAGTAACACTAACAACCTAAAAATAATGAAAAGCAGTGCAATAAAAGTAAACAAAGCAGTGAAGTGTCAGCTCGACCAAGAGCTCGAGTCGAGTCAGAACAAAGTACCAGCTCGATCGAGTTTAGGGACGAGTTGAGACAAACAAGCTAAAGGTGACGACTTTAATAAGCTAGAGAGAGAATTAGGGTTCAAGACAGGGTTTTGCAATCAAAGGAAACTACACTTAATCAATCTAGCTCTTAAAACTCCTTGTATCAAGGCTTCTCTTGATATTGGGCTTCTCAATGCCTAGCCAACCCTTTCCCAAGGTGAAGGCTATCAACCAAGGAATGATCTCAGAAACAGGGGGTTAGCCAGTGAGAATCAAACCTTGGAGGCTATAGGATCATTGCCCAAACTAATCCATCCAACCCCTTAGACCTCTATTGTCTAGAGCAAGAGATATTGGAGCTCTTAGTGGATCTTTTCCAGCGAATGCCATCACTTTCGTGTGGGGACTCGCCTAAGGACTTACAAGCCAGGGGTAGTGGTCATGTAGCCTTAAGATCTATCCAAAAGAGAGAGAATCTAGATTAAGACCATAAGCTAGAAGGATTAAGCATATGAAACCTCTAATCTATCCCATCTCAAACCCCAATGGGTAACTACTCACTAACATGAATGTAAACACAAGCAAATGCAATAAAAGAGACATCATAAGAAAGAGGAGATGAAATAAACAACTTTTATTGAAATAAGCAAGTGCAAATACAAGAGAGATTATCCAGGATCTAAGATTCAAGAAGCAAGAGCTTCAAGAACACAAAGATAGGATTAGATCTCTAAAAAGTAAAAGTACAATAAATTAAAGAAGCTAAAACAAAAATAATCTAAAGCTTGGTGGTTTTTTCGTGGCTAGAGCCTTTAAATACAAAGAGGATTAGGTTTAGGGTCAAAGGAAGTCAAGGGGGAAGCAACATTTTTCGGGTTTGACTTTGACTCCAGCTCGATCGAGTTGAAGCTTGGCCGGTCGAGTTGAGGAACTCGACCGGTTGGTCGAGTGGACGGTCGAGCTGGTCTTCAAGATGGCTTCTCCCTTCTTCCTTTGCGATCCAGTTGAGCTGCTTCCATGTGCCAAGTCCCTCCATGCTCCTTATGTCCCATATGCTCCAGAATGCTCCAAAAGACCTATTTCAAAGGACCAAACATGCATATGTATGCAAATGCAACCTAAAACTAACATGAATGCATAAGAAGAGAAAAGGAACAAGATATGATGCAAATGGAAGCTAAAACTATGCAAAAGATGCATAAAAGATGTGCTAAAACTATGTAAAATGCAAGTACATCAACACCCCCAAACTTGAACTTTGCTTGCCCTCAAGCAAACAAATAGAACAAGAAAGAGATGAGGTTTGAAAATAGCTGATTCAACACTTAAAAACATGTCCTCAAAAGCGATTTGCTAAATGTCCAACTTAGAGATTCTAGAATGCAACAAGGTGAGAGATATTCATTAAGATTTAACCATGCTTATCAACATCAATCCCACTTCACAGTCACTCAAACAAGTGCATTCAAATCAGCAAATCCCTTTAACATTCATTAAGCAAAAACAGTGAACCAAAAACATGCAAGATCAATCAACTCATTTGGTTTCAAGGGTTTATGGGTAAGAGACAAAGAGGGTCTCTTTTGTATGGTGGTTTAGTAACAGGGATCTCTCAAGAAAGTGGCTTTGCTTTGGCAGAAGGCTAAGTGTTAGAACCAAAGATGATGCAAGAACAGCAGCTCGAGCCGCCTAATCCTAACTCGATCGAGTTCAACACTTAGAGCTTTTTAGAACAAAATCCTAACTACCCTTTTTGGCATTTCGCCTTTGAAACTGAGGAGCTTTGCTCACTTTTCTTTTAAGAACTTCCTAGGGAGAGGCTTCTTGAGGTAACATCTAGCGGTTTGGGATTTTCTAAACACTTAGGGAACTTTTCTTTCCTTTTTGGACACTTGAGGCTTTGCCTTCTTTTCATTCTACTTAGAACCCTTTTTACTTTCCTTTTTTAACTTCCCAAACCTTTACTAGACCCTTTTTACACTGCCAACTCCCTGGACTTAACTAAACTCTTTTTCCTTTGGGTTTTTCCCAACTTTTACCACTTTTCTGGTTTTTACACCCAACTCGATCGAGCTCGAGTTGGCACCCCCAAACTTAGCCTGAAAACAATCCCAAGAGAACTAGACAACTAGAACTACTGCCCCTGCCGGTTTAAACACAACACCTTATGCTAAGCAAAGCCAAGAAAGGTTCTCACATTCGCACAAGAGATAATAATGGGGTTTGAAATGAAAAGGCTTAGGTTTAAGGTGTGGTAACTGTCTCAAAGATAGAGATCAGCTATCTGGACAAGCAAAAGGGATATGAAAATGGTAAAGAATGTCCAGATATGTATGTGGTAGCCATGAGTTGAAATCAAATGCAAGCATTGGTAATTAAAGATCAAGTTATGGTTCAAATAGATAGGGAAATGCATCAAATCACAGCAATGGTTGAATGAGATGTGCATGCAGCGATATGATCAAGATAAACATGGTTCTTGCTGCTCAATCAATCTCACCCTAATGCACAAAAGAATCTAAAAACAGGGCACTCAAGAAATCGCAAAAGATGGACAAGTTTTCAAAGTCAAATCAACAATGCAAGTGAAAAATGCAATCCTAAACAAGTCTAACAAATATGAATGCAAAAAGATGAAAATATTTTTGGATTTTTTGAAAATTTTATGATTTTTTTGGTTTTTCTATGCAAAAGATAAATGAAAAACTAAGAACAAAGAAAACAAGGTTAAATCATCTCTTGAACCCTCCCCCAAACTTAAATCACACAGTCCCTTGTGTGAGAAAAATTTAGTGAAAGATTCAAGAGGGCAAAACCAAGAAAAAACAAGAACAAATGAAAGAAAATATGAAATGGTATATACAAGGGTTGGTGTTTGGATACCTCAGTGCCCCCCAAAGAACTGGGAGACTAGGTCGTGGTCTGGAGATGGGAGACGGCCATCAGGACGCTCCACTCGACTGGGTTCGGCTCACTCGATCGAGCTTGCTCTTGACTCGATCGAGTTGTGCCTCGAGTTAGCCACTTGTCTTCCTAAAACCTGCTCCTGTGAGACTCAGCCAAGAAAAATCATAAAAATAAAAGGATAAAGTATAAATACATAAGATAGACATGGGAATTCCTCCCAAGTGAGCTTGTTTTAGGTCTCTTAGCTTGACCTTACCCCTTTTTAGGCCGGGGTTGGATCTTCTAGAGGAGTGATGATCTCCTCTGTGGGGGTCATTCCTAGATATGGCTTGCATCTATGTCCATTCACTGTGAATTCCTTCCCCTCTTGATTGAGCAAAGTGAGGGACCCATAGGGTAGAACTTCGTGAATCTTGAATGGTCCCGCCCACTTTGACCTCAGCTTCCCGGGAAACAACCTTAGCTTGGAGTTATACAAGAGCACACTGTCCCCAACCTTGAAATCCTTAAGGCGAATCAGTTTGTCGTGGGCTGCCTTGGTTCTCATCTTGTAAATCCTAGAGTTCTCATAGGCATTCATTCTTATCTCCTCCAGCTCAAACAAGTTCATTACCCTCCTTTCTTGTGCTGCCTTTATATCAAAGTTCAGCATCTTTACTGCCCATAAAGCCTTATATTCGACCTCCACAGGTAAGTGGCAGTCCTTCCCATACAGCAAATTGAAAGGAGACCTTCCAATGGGGGTTTTGTAGGCTGTCCTATAAGCCCAAAGTGCCTCATCAAGCCTTGCTGCCCAGTCTTTCCTAGTGAAGCTCACAGTCTTCTCCAATATGGCCTTGATCTGTCTGTTGGAGACTTCAACTTGCCCACTGGTTTGAGGGTGATAAGGTGTGGCGACCTTGTGTTTGACTCCATGGCTTCTCATCAACTTTTCAAACACCTTGTTGATGAAATGGGAGCCTCCATCCGAAATAACAACCCTTGGGATGCCGAACCTTGGAAAGATGATGGTTCTGAAAAGCTTGACAACCACCTTGGCGTCACAGGTTGGGCAGGGAATGGCTTCAATCCATTTGGATACATAGTCTACAGCAACCAAAATGTAGTTGTGCCCGTTTGAAGAGGGTTTGAAAGGTCCCATGAAGTCTATTCCCCATACATCAAAAATCTCAACCTCTAGAATTGGGTTTAGTGGCATCTTTCCCTCTTGGTGATCCCTCCTTTCCTTTGGCACGGATCACACTTGGCAATGTAGTCTGCTGCATCCTTAAACAAAGTAGGCCACCATAAACCCGATTGCAAAACCTTAGTTGCTGTTTTGAATGTAGCAAAGTGACCTCCGTAAACTGACCCATGGCAATGCTCTAGAACTCCTTGCACATCCTCTTCAGCAATGCATCCTGTAAATGCTGTCTGGTCCTCTCTTGTACAGGTAGGGCTCATCCCAATAGTAATGCCTAGCATCCTTGAAGAATTTCTTCCTCTTGTAAGCATCAAAGCTACTAGGGACTTCTCCGGACACCATGAAGTTCACTATATCAGCATACCATGGCAAATTCTCATCACGCAGAGCCTTAACTTCTTCCAGCCTGGCTTTCTCATCAAAACTCTCCTTCAAGATCATGATTGCCATAAGCTGTTCTTCAGGCATAGAATCATTGATGGGGATCATGTCTTCAACTCGCATCCTAGAGAGATGATCAGCAACTCCATTCTCCACTCCCTTTTTGTCCAACTTCTATCAAACTCTTGAAGCAAAAGGATCCATCTGAGAAGTCTTGGCTTTGTATCTTTTAGCGAAGATGTGTCTAAGGGCAGCATGGTCAGTGTGCACAATCACCTTGGATCCAACTATATAGCTTCGAAACTTCTCAAAGGCAAAGACTATGGCAAGGAGCTCCTTCTCTGTGGTTGCATACTTGCACTGAGCATCATCCATAGTCTTGCTTGCATAGTAGATGACATTGAGTTTCTTGTCTATCTTTTGGCCAAGCACTGCTCCTACTGCATAGTCAGATGCATCACACATAATCTCAAATGGGTGATCCCAGTTTGGAGCTTGAACTATTGGCGCAGACACCAGAGCATCCTTCAGCAAGGTCCAAGAGCTTG